TTAGTCAATATTACGGTTTCCTTGAAACTCTGATCAATACCTGAATGACCACAGAAATGTGGGAAAAATAATGCCTTCTAGGCAATTAGCCCACTTACCAAGGCATAATTTACTCCCTAATAGGAAATAGTTGGCAGCTTGTAATGCTCTGTAGGATCTTCCCCAGCTCAAGGATGCATGTGAGATCTGTAAACCTTTAGTGCAGACTGCTTGTCACAGAGATGATAATGAGATATACATTTTAAATATTTTAATATTTTAAATTGATCAAATGCCTTTTCTCAACTGATAATGCAACCCCTGCTTTTTTTTTTTTTTTTTAAATCACCTTGATTTTGATCATTTTCAATTTATATTACCTAATTTAGAAGCATCAGTCGTGGTGAACACGAAGATTACTTGTATTTTTTTTTTTAAATTTTTTATTTATTTTTTTTCCCCTAAAGCCCCAGTAGACAGTTGTATGTCGTAGCTGCACATCCTTCTAGTTGCGCAACCCCTGCTTTGACTTCTCCTAGTATTTCCCGTTATCTGTGACTTGATGTTGCAAAACCACAATTAGTGACTATATCAAGCTTTGCGAATATATGTTCTCTTGCGTGGGGAGCCTTTCCTTGGTTCAAACATAGCTTGGTTATCAATCAAGGAAAGAAAACGCAAGATAGTGAGAATTGCAGAGCAAAGCCAGAGCGGCTTTGCCTTGTGACGATGTCAGTCATCTGACATCTGCGTACTTCTGCCACCTCAGCCACTCTGACCTGTCCTCCCTTATGCTTCAGGCTCCCAAATGGCTGAATCTAATGCAGGACTCCACTGCACCCCATACGACTGGGTTTTGCTAATGGTATCACTTTGCTAAGCACAACTCATCCTTTCACCTGGCTGAGTCTTTCAGTACTACTGGAATCAGCCTAGGTAGGCACCAGCATCACTGTGAAGTTTTCCCTGCCCCGCATCTCCACCCCAGCTAGTTTAGAGTCCCCCGTCTGAGTTCATATTCAGGAAGCCAAGGAAAACGAATCTATTTCTGGACATCAGATGTGGCAAGCACAGAACTGTCCAGATCCTTCTTGCTAGAAGAGAGGAATTTCCTGAGCTTGCACTAGGTCTAGGTTTGTGCCCACAGCCCAAGTGAGCAGAAATGTCAGGATGTAGGCATCACAGTGTTCCACTGGGGTAGACCTGGATCTGGCAGGGATCCCCAATCAAAATAAGAAGAGAGACATAGTAATTATGTGACGTCCACCATGTAAAGGGAATGCATTCACAGTGTTGCAGACATGGTGAATAAGCAATACTGGGAATCATTGTCTGATAGAGGGTTTTACTGAGCATGAAGGGTGTAGAGTGTCTGTGTGACAGAGGTAGAGAACGAAGTCCCCTCTTTTCAGAGCCTGTCCATGGTATATGCTTCCTCTTGTAGAGTACCATACCAGAAATGGTGGGATTATATTTAATTGAAATCCATTGAGTAAGGCCTGTCCATCATTTCTTTTCCCTAAGGAATGGCAGATTTTAAAGAACCCTTATTTTGTTTGGTTGGTTGATTGTTTAGTTTTCATTGCCTTAAGGAGATGACTTGGTTTGTGTCTCGATCTGAAGTTCATACTAGGGCTAAAGAACAGGTAAAAGACTGGGTTTATTTTTCTCATATTTTTTTGGTCTCTACTAGTCATAGTAGAAGAATATTAGAAATAAATTGTTTTTGCCTATTTTGCCTTCCTATTCTCTACTCCCAGTGAAAATCAAGACAAAGGGATCAGGGCCGGCTCCGTGGCTTAGCGGTTGAGTGCGCGCGCTCTGATGCTGGCGGCCCGGGTTCGGATCCTGGGAGCGCCCCGAGGCACCACTTCTCCGCTCAACGTGGGGCCGGGTCCCACGTACAGCAACTAGAAGGATGTGAACCTATGACATACAACTATCTACTGGGGCTTTGGGGGGAAAAAACTGAATAAATAAAATCTTTAAAAAAAAAAAAAACGACAAAGGGATCATTAAAACAGATGATACTTAGATAAATTATCTTCAATAATCTGTCAATGCCAAGCATCTGAGGGAAACTATAATCTAACCTTGTATGCTATACAGAACCATGTTTCTTCCCTTGATGTTAAAAGAAACTGTAAACTCTGCTTGTACTTTCACCAGAAGATTGTATTCCCGCTCATCCTCTTTCCTGTCCTTGGCTTCCTAATCAAATTTATGTTGGATGACACAGACTCACACCCAGGATAGACTTTAAGCAAAAGAAGGAAATATTTTAAAGTATTTTAAATTTGAAGTTACTCAGGGAGGGTTAGTGTTCTAGGAGCTGGAGAGTAACTGGGAAGTAACACAGTTGCTCCTTCCGTCTGCTTTTCACTGTGTGTCTGAACCATCGCCCCGCTCCTCTGCACAGACGTACTTGCCCATCAACCTGCAGGCTCACAAACAGCCTCCAAATCACAGGCGCATTGGCCCACAAATTCAAATTTACTACTCAGCCAGCATTTACCACCAAGTACCTATCTCCTGTGTCTCAACTGCAAATATAGACCAAAATTTTAGGCTAATAATTAACTTGACCCTCTGTACATTGTGTCCAATTCTGAACTAAGCATCTTTATCCAGGCAGGAGCTAGGGTGTTGAACAACTGTGGCTGCAGGGGGTCATTGTTTGACTGAATCGTGTCCCTGCCAGATTCCTATGTAGAAGCCCTAACCCCCAAGGTGACTGTATTTGGAGATGGGACCTTTAAAGAGGTAAGGTTAAATGAGGTCATAAGGGTGGTCCCTAATCCAACAGGACTGGTGTCCTTATAAGAAGAGGAAGAGACACCAGGAAAAGCCGTGTGCAGACACAATGGGAGGCTGCTGTCTACAAGCCAAGGACAGAGGCCTCAGGAGATTTCACCCCTGCTGGCACCTTGATCTTGGAATTCCAGCCTCCAAAACTGTGAGAAAATAAATTTCTGTTGTTTAAGCCACCCAATCTGTGGCATTTTGTTATGGTAGCCCAGTAGACTGATTATATATATAAAATTAAATATATATTTACATATATATGGCATCCTCAGAGAAGGTAGCATGGCAGAGCAGTAGAAACATTTTATAAATGGCGAGGTAAAAAGAGCATACTAATCTAGTTTCGCTAGAAGATGCTGTCATTTCTTCATTTGTTGCTCCTTTTTGCACTCTTCCTTCCCTCTTACCTACTTTCTGTTTATAAAAAATGATGTGTGTAAGCTTCTTTAATCCTGAAATCTGTCCAGACCCTCTGTCCTGCATTCTATGTCCACATTTCCAACAATACGTTTAACATTCATACCAGGATGTATCTCCCAAACTCAAATACGTTGTATCTAAAAGTAAATTAACAAACCCTGAACAAATATTTCTCCTTCCTTAAACTCTGCCCCCCATAACTGCAAATGTGGGAATATTTGTAGAGTCACTTTTGAGTCCTTGTTTCTCCTTGCTCCCTGCTCTCTCTGCCTGATCTTCTCGGCCTAAACCGTCAAGCATTAAACAGTCCTGCTTACTTTTTCTTCAAAGTTAGCCTTTCCTTTCAAGTTCTCACATGCTTGATTATCCTTATTGTATCAGTATCATGAATAATGAAGAGCCCAATATTCTTGTTAAACAACATCACTTAATAATATGTGAGTGGACTTTTTATAAACATTTGTAGGGACTGACAAAAACGGCTTTGCAGGACCAATTACTGCTTAATATATTTATTACACAAATGTTAAAGAGTTCCTAGGTAGCCATTGACAAGCAATTTCTAGCTCAATTCTACTGAACAGCTAATAGTTCTAAGGGAAAAATTTATGGTCACTAAGGGGAAACAAACAAGAAATACACTAATAAATAAGAATGTAGCAAATGCACAGAAATTGCTTCTATTTCTCTCCATTTTTGTCTCATGGATTCTCCTGTAAGATAGAATTATACCACTGATGATATACTATTCAACATTTCAGGTAAACTCACAGGGTAGAAAAGTGGCTGTCAAAGAGTGTGGCTTTAAGTTCAGGACTTGGGAAAACATATGATGTCAAGCCATCCTAAAAACTCTGACTGTCCAGAGTCAAGTCTGGGCATGTTAGCATGTATGGAGGTTTTTGTTGTAGGAGGAAGTGAATGAGGAGAGACAAAACAAAGACCTCAGAGAATCCATAAATAATGCGGCTGTACAGACTTGAAGTGCGGTAGATCTTATTACCTAAGATGCATGGTGCTGGTGGACTGGCCAAACTCAATCACTTCCATGATATAAATTATTCATATCTTGTTATCTCCAAATATCAAGTAGATGTGTAACCTGTATTGCCCAACAATAAATCTCATATGAACAAATGGATTTGTGGCGAACTGTGTTTCCTATTTCTGTTGTAACGAATTACCATAAATTTAGTGATTTAAAACAACACAAATCTATTCTCTCATAGTTCTGCAAGTCAGAAGTCTGAAATGGGTCTCAATAGGCTAAAATCAAGGGGTCTGCATGGGTGCGTTCCTTATAGACGCTCTAAGGGAGAAACATTGCCTTGCCTTTTCCAGCTTCTAGAGGCTGCCTGCATTCCTTGGTTTTCAGTCTTCTTCCATCTTTGAAGTCAGCAAGACCATTGAATCTTTCTCATGCTGTCATTCCTCTAGTTCTGACTCCTACTTCCTTCTCCCCTGTTTAAGGATGCTTGTGATTTCATTAGGCTTCCTGAGATAACCTAGCATAATCTTATTTTACTGTCAGCTGATTAGGTAAACTGCAACTCAATTCCCACCTGCCATGTAACATAGCATGTTCTCAGGCTCTGGAAATTAGGACATGGACATCTTTGGGGAGCATTATTCTACTTATCACAATAGCCTTGACTGTTTTGTTTAACTGAAGGATCAGGTCCTTTCTGATCTTATTCTTGAAATCTGTTCCAATACCGTTTTTTAAAGACTTATCCACTCGTCTTTTTTTTAGCTCAACTACTGAATCTCAGAGCAGTGACGCCTGAGTACCCCACATTTTCCTGTTATAAATCTCCTCAATGTAAGGAGGAGGCTTCCCTAGGCTCTGGAAGCAGACATAGCCAGGGATTCTAAGGTTGTAGGCAGGAAGAAACACTTCCAGGACACCAGTTCTCACCACAATCTCATTAAATATTTCAGATAAACTCATAAGCTAGAAAAAATGAAAGAGATAGCTTAAGTTGAATTTATCTTATGACATTCATATTAGACAATGTGGCTAATGGTTGAGTTTAATGAGTACAAGTTGACCCTGAGGGCGTCCCAGACAAATCTCCATTCACGAGAGAGAACCTTATGGTGAGGGGACCCGGACAAGAACTCAAGGAGGACATCGCGCAGTTGAGGACCTGGGGAAGCACCTGAGGCAAGCTGTGGTGAGAACATTTGTTACTCAAAATACCTTTTACTGAATAGAAGCCCATGACTGCATCCATGAGTTTTCTTCACTTGTGATACTAAACTATCCATTTAAAGAACACTTTTCCTATATTTAGAGTAAAAGCCTAACTCTACCACTGTACCCAGTTCAAGTTGCCATAGGGAGGGGTCTGGAGGGAACAGTGAACCAGAGCGATTGCCCAAATAGAGCTGACAGCCAGTGCACTGCTGCAGAGTGTGCCTTCTGACACTCATCGCTCGGACCTCTCATTCCTGTCTCTACTGGAGCCTGAATTCTTCTCCCTAAGCATGAATTATTTTCCAAAACCTGCAGTATGACCCTCATTAAATCCACCCTCTATGCTGTTTCCAAAGTGTCAATTATAAACCTGATTAGGTCATTCTCCACGTTTAAATGCTTCACTGGTTGCCTGTAGCTCCTAGGGTAAAATTCTAAGTCCACACTTTAGCTCATAAACCTTTTCATGAACTGGCACTTACCCTCTTGGATGGCTTCAATCCCACTCTGCCTACCACAATTCTTTCTTCTACCATCCTAACTGCTCGTAAATTTGTGAGCACGTTATGCTGTTTAGACACCTGTGCCTGTGCACACGGGTCCCCAGCCAGGACGTCTCTTGGTCATCCTCTTGCATGACTCAAGTTGCTTTTGTATTTATGTAACTCCTACTCAGGCTTCAAACCTCAGCTCTAACACTGCTCACTATTGGAGCCTTCTGATTTAGAGAGTCCTTAAGTGCTTTCATGTGCTTCCTTTGCAAATGTCACTCACAGGATTTACAATTCTACAATTTCATTGTTCATTCTCCTTGCTATTCTTGGGAGGCAGAGGACATAACCTATCTAGCTTTGTATTCCCAATGGATTGCAAAGTGGCTGTCACATTGTAGATGCAAAAATATCTGTGGATTGATCCACATATCCTGCATTTGAAGGTAGACTTGCATATGTTCTAACTTAAAAAATCTCTACTTCTTCCATTCTCCGTACTCCAGGTCCCTGAAAATATCAAATTTACCTCTAAGGCTGTTGTGTTGTGATGTTGAAAAAAATAAGACCAATGAAAGAACTTCATAAACAATTAATTTGTAAAACTTCTTACTAAGAATAATATACAATTATTTTTTAACCTGTCCTAGTCACATATTAAAAAGAAATTGACAATTACATTCTAACTTATGTTATCATGTCCTGATAGTGTTGGTTCTTAAACAGTTTCCACTTAAAGTACTTTTTGAAGAGGTCAGATCTCACCAATTTGTTGGAGGAAGGAGAGATGAATGGAGCAAAGGATTTCTCAAGACCCTAACAATCTTGTGATTCTACTTGTTATTAGCACTAAAATAAGTCAGAGAACAAATAAGCTCTTTCTTTTACAATTTCTTTAAGCACTTAGGTTTAAAAGCTTTTCTAGCCTAATCTCTCCACACTCCTTGTACATCATCCAAATTCTGACTGGGAGTTACATATTCATAACACTTGTAGGTCTTACCACTGATCTGTACAATGAAACTAAGCTTTAGTCCCCATAAAAAATACAATATAACAATGTTTCTGCAGTGCAGGATGATAGCTGATTTAAATTACAATAAGGCACAAATAAAAGACAAAACAAAAACATTCTGTGAGATTTGTTGGCTATAAAAGCTTCGCTCAAAGACTACTTTGTCATCAATCATAGCATCAACTAAACAGAATCAAAGAGCAACTTTCAATACCAGTAAATACCAGAGTTGAGTTCATTTCACACCCAATCAAAGGAAATTGAATCACTCAACGTTAGAGGTGAAAGGAATATTTCAAGTTACTGAAACAATCACCTTACTTTGTGGTACAAAAAACTTGACTCCCAAACTCTCCCCACTTCTTGAATCCTTCAGCTGTGTCTTGTCAGTCCGTAATAAACACATTCCCCTACACTTCGTATTTGTTATCTATTCCTACATAGGATATTTTCACAACTTAGTGGTTTGAAAAAGCAATAATCATTTATTATCTCATACAGTTTCTGCGAGAGCGACTCGCGTGGGTGGTTCCCGTGAGGTTGCAGTCAGGATGTTGGCCAGGGCTGCATCATCTGCAGGCTTCACTGGGGTGGGGACTCTGCCTCCCAGGAGGCTTCGTGTGGTTGGAAAGCTGGCGTTGGCTTTGGAAGGAGGCATCTGTTCTCCGCCACATGGACCTCTCCATAGGGCTCATGATATGGCAGCTGGCTTCCTTGGTAGTAAGTAACCCAAGAGGGGACAAGGCGGAAGCCATGACCTTTTAGGCCTAGCCTCAGACACCACACATAATTGTTTCCATAATATTTTATTGGTGACACAGGTCGGTCCTATTCCCTGAAGGGCTGACCTTCAGGGAATAGGGACTTCAGTGGGAAGGGACTACATAACGGCATGAATACCAACAGGCAAGAATCATAGGAGCTACTGTGAATCTGGCAACCACAATTCTAATCCTCTTTTCCTGGTGTTTCTTTTATTTCCTTGTCTTACCTGATTTCTCCCACAATCATTACTTCAACTGCAACCTTCTCAAATGATGACGGGTCTCCCCGCCCCCATTTTTAATTCCTACTCCAAAACTTCTACCAATTCTAAAGTTGATTAAAATTCAAAGTCCTTGTTGCTCTACATTTCTGTTTCCAAACAATTACTCATCCAGGCTCTTATAAAAAGGACAATGCTACTCTAGTTCTTGTCATCAACTAACAGGTCATCAACCAACATGTCAGTCACTCCCCATCTTCCATAAATTTTCTGCAGTGAAGTGTTGCACTCTACCTCAAGCCCTACCATCATTTGTCTGTGAGGATGGCAAATAAAGTCTCCTGGCTTCTCAGTTCTCTCACCTTCTTGTCGCCAAATAAACTAGCCCCTTCCATTTAAGCAACACATTCAAATGACCACAATGTAGAACACCAAAATCAGGTCCTTATCACCCAGACAATTGTCTTTCTCCTTTTTACTCACTTTTCTTAAAAAATAAACTTTTGGGATAATTATGTTTTGGAATAATTATAGATTACAAAAAGATGATAAAGCTACTACAGTTCCCATATACTACTTCACTCCATTTCAGTTTTACCTCCTGTTATCATTTTAGGTTGTCGTGGCGATTTGTCAAAATTAAGAGACTCACATTGGCACATTATTTTTAAACTAGATTCCGGAATTTATTTGGATTTTACCAGTTTTTCCATTAATGTTCCAGTGTCCAGTCCAGGTACCACACTGCATTTAGCCACCACATCTGCTTAGTCTCCTTGTGTCTGTGAACAGTTTCTCAGTCTTTTCTTGTTTTTCATGACTTCACAATTTTGAAGGGTACTGGCCAGGTATTTTGTGAAATGTCCCATAATTTGGGTTTGATTAACATTTTTCTCATGTTTAGAGAGGCTTTATGGAATTCCAGAAAGAATATTACAGAAGTAAAGTGCCCTTCTCATCACATCATCTCAGGAGGCATGTGACATCTACATAGCAACAGCGGTGACGTTAACCTTGGGTGTCACAGGATTTGCCAGGTTTTTGCACTGTAAAGTTATTATGTTTTCCCTTTCCATGCTGTATTCCTTGCAAGTGAGTAACTAAGTTCAGCCCACACTTAAGGGGCTGAGAATTAAGCTCCACCTTTTGTAGGGTGAAGTATCCACATATATATTATTTAAATTTTTCTGTAAGGAAGAGTTGTTTATTCTCCACTATTTATGCATGCATACATGTATTTATATCATTAAGGACACACGAATTTTTTTTTATGCTGGGGGTTATAATCATGTTAGCTCATTTTTTCAACTACTCCAACTACTACTGTTACCAAATCAAAAGGGGTTCACTTCCTGGCAAGTTAAAATCAGACTCTCAATCAGAAGTAGTTGTCACAAAAAGTAGAAGTTATTTGCAGCTACTAGGAGGCTGTGAGGAATCACTTCCAAAGTTGTGGCTGTCTCTGAACATGGGAAAAGAGGGGTCTTTTATTTCAGATGGGGAATGAATATTCAAAGGGGAGAGGTGGGCATTCACTTGCACGGGCTCAATTGGAAAACACGCTCTACAGACACTGCAGGTTATGGTAATAAGGCCTAAGCTCCTCTCAGGTAGGAGCTCTTAGCATTAAAAATGAAGTAAAGGTCACAGGCCTTGCTCTTGTGCTGGGGCTTGGTCTGGTTTGTGATTGCAGCTCTTAAACTGTTAAATGCTTCCAAACCCACCCTCGAGTTCCTTGGAGCAATTAGTCAGTTACACTACCATTCTTTAATATGTTGAGCCCCTCCAATTCTCTGAATCTTTTACTTTTCCCTCCAGTCTCCATTTTCTGGCTTAGCTACCGTGGTCCATTATTTCACTAAATTCTTAAAAGCATCTCAATTCTTCTTGCTGTATTTTTTGTTGTTGTTGCATCCATCTGTTACATCCACAGGCCTGAATGATTTCTATCTGCTTTCACTGTGCTTAACATCAGGAAAAAAAAAAACATTATAAATACACAAAAGACAGACAGGAAATACTACAAATTAATTGTTACCAAAAAAAATGAACTTTCAAAATTTCAGAATAAAATACTAAGTTCCTCAAATTGATTTCCCATTTATCTTAGCAATGACTTCTTTTTAAAAGTAGACATTATTATTATAATTTTTTTTTTTTTTGAGGAAGATTGGCCCTGAGCTAATATCCGTGCCAATCTTCAGCTATTTTGTATGTGGGATGCCGCCACAGCATGGCTTGATGAGCAGCCCGTAAGTCCGTGCCCAGATCCAAACGTATGAACCCTCGGCCACCAGAGTGGAGCACGTAAACTTAACCACTATGCCACCAGGCTGCCCCCAAAATAGACATTATTTTCTTAGGGCAGTTTTAAGTTTATAAAAATTTGTGCAGAAAGTACAGGGACTTCCTAAGTATTCCATCTCCTTCCTCCTCCACACATAGTTTCTCCTATTATTGACATCTTACATTGGTGAGATACATTTGCTTCAATTGATGAACCAACATTAACACATTGTTATTAACTGAAGTCCATAGTTTACATCGTGTTGTACAGTTCTATGAGTTTTGGCAAATGCATAATATCGTGTATTCACCAAGATAGTATCATACAAAATAGTTTCACTGTCCTAAAACTTTCCTGTGCTTCCCCTATTCATTCCTTTCCCCCTCCTCCTGAACCCCTGGCAACCATCAATCTTTTTATTGTCTTTCGAGGTGCGCCTTTTCCTGAAGTCATATAGCTAGAATCATATAATACAAAGCCTTTTCAAACTGGCTTCTTTCACTTAGCAAAATGCATTGATTACTCCGTGTCTTTTCATAGCTTGATAAGTCATTTCTTGTTATTGCTAGATAAAACTTCATTATATAGACGCACTATAGTTTGTTTATCAATTTATCTACTAAAGGACGAGTTGTTTGTTTCCAAGATTTGGCAATTATGAATAAAGTGCAATAAAAACTTGTGTGCAGGTTTTCCTGCGGACACAAATTTTTCATTTCATTTGGTAAATATTTAGGAGATTTACTGCTGGATGGTATGGTACAGCTATGTATAGTTTGGTAAGTAACTGCCAGATTGTCTTCCAAAGTGGCTGTACCCTTTTGCATTCCTACAAGCAGTGGATGAGAGTTTCTGTCACTCCACAGCCTTACCAGCATCTGGTGCTATCAGGGTTTTGGATTTTGGCCATTCTAATAGGTGTGTAGTGGTATCTCATTGTTGTTTTAATTTACAACTCTCTAATGACATGTGATTGAGGGGCTTTTCGTATGCTTATTTTCCATCTATATATCTTCTTTGATGAGGTGTCTGTTTAGATCTTTTGCACATTTTGTAATTGAGTTTTTTGTTTTTCCATCACTGAGTTTTACAAGTTTTTTTGTACATTTTAGACACAAATCCTTTATCAGATATGTATTTTGCAAAGGTTTTCTCCCAGTTTGTGACTTGTCTTTTCTTTTTTTCTTTCCCTTTATCTCCACAAAGCCCCAGTAAATAGTTGTATGTCGTAGTTGCACATCCTTCTAGTTGCTGTATGTGGGACGCTGCCTCAACATGGCCAGACAAGCAGTGCGTGGGTGCGCGCCTGGGATCTGAACTTGGGCCACCAGTAGCAGAGCGCGCGCACTTAACCTCTAAGCCACGGGGCCGGCCCCATGACTTGTCTTTTCATTCCCTTTATAGTCTGGTTTGTAGAGCAGAAGTTTTTAATTTTAATGAAGTCCAATTTATCAAGTTTTCTTTCACAGATCATACTTTTGGTGTTATCTAAAAAGTCATCATCAAACTCAAGGTCATCTAGATTTTCTCCTGTGTTACCTTGTAGAAATTGTATAGTTTTGCATTTTACTTTTAGATCTATAATGCATTTTTGTGAAAGGTATAAGGTCTATGTCTAGATTCTTTTTTTTGCGTGTGGATGTCCAGTTGTTCCAGTACTATTTATTGAAAAACTATCCTTTCTTCATTTTATTGCTTTTGCTTCTTTGTCAAAGGTCAATTGTTTACATGGTCAGTTGTTTACATGTTGTTTATAGTCCATTTCTGGGCTCTCTATTCTGTTGATGCATTCGTCTATTCCTTATTACACTGTCTTGATCACTGTAACTTCATAGTAAATCTTGAAGTTGGAAGTCCTCTGATTTTGTTCTTTTTTAAGTAATGTGTTGGCTGTTCTGGGTCTTTTGATTTTCTATATAAACTTTAGAATCAATTTGTTGATATTCACCAAATAACTTGCTGGGATTTGGATTAGGATTGCCTTGAATTTATAGATCAAGTTGGGAAGAATTGACATCTTAATAATATTAAATATTCCTATCCATGAACATGACATAACATCCATTTATTTAGATCATATTTGATTTCTTTCTTCAGAGTAATATACCTTTTCTCATATGGATCTCATATTTTGATAGGTTTATACCTGATTATTTCATTTTTTTATGTTAATGTAGTGTTATTTCAAATTTCAGTTTTTTTGCTGGTGTAGAGGAAAGCAATTGAATTTTGCAAATTAACACTGCATTCTGTGACCTTCCTATAACTGCTTATTAGTTTCATGTTTTTTGTTGACATTTTTGGGATTTTCTAATTGACAATCATATGATCTGTGAACAAAGACAATTTTATTTCTTCCGTCTCAATCTGTGTAGCATTTATTTCC